AGTCCCGTTGTAGTTAAAATATCCCATATTTCACTTTTAAAGAGTGCACAGCCACGAACCATTAGATGTGACTACATTAAAAGTAGTTAGTTCTGCCAATATCTACATTTGTCATGACTGTTTGTGACGTCCTGCCCCACAGATGTTTGACATTCCAGATGTTGAACTCATCACTGATGCCTCTGTGTGTTGGCCGTGAAAAGGTAAAAGCAGCAGCAGGTGGTCCGTTTTCCTCCAAAGAAACGTTGTGATCACTTCAGTAACACCGCTTCACAGCTTCACCTGTGACTGGTTTAGATCTGAAACCCTCTGCTGGGGAAATGCTTTTCATGTTGTTTTACTGAAAAAGTCCTGAAGGACTGCTAACGCACAACACCATGAGAGAAATGAGGCAGCAATGTTTACTTATGTTTAGTTAAGTATAGTGTTGAACAATGTTCAAATTAGTAGAAGAAAAAATATAATAATTTTGGCTTGAAATCCAAGAGGATGCTTTCATTGACTTAATGACTCTTGGAAATTAGTCACACAGAGAAGACAACAGTGTTGTGACACAAATCACCTGAGTTGACCCTTTAAAACAGGGCTTTTCAATTGACGGCCCGGGGGCCAAAGTAGGCCCACGGGTGAGCTCAGTTCAGCCCACCAATGGATTCATTTTTTAAATAAAACTAGATTTTCAACTGTAAAACAAACTTACTTAATGACAATAACTGTCTGGACCCTGAGCTCTTGGCTTTCAGTAACTGTGGCCCCCAGAGCAATTTACTTGAGTAGCCCAGCTATCAAACATCTCGTAAACTACGCTGAATCTTCTTCAGAAAGGCTATTTTCTGTCTAGATAAGTTGATCCCATCATCAGATAAACATAAAACACAAACAAAGCTCAACATAAAGAACAAAACCAGAAAGTGTGAGGAACAATATGTGTAAACGCACCAAGAGCAAAACTATTAATACACAAAACAAACAAGATTTTTCTTAAACATGCAGATTATTCTTGAATCTCTCCTTGAATCGAAGGATCTTCAGTTATCTGAGTTTCTGGAGAATCTCAGGAAGTTGTTTCAAAAATAAATTTCACAGGAAACGAAATGTCATCATGACAAAGCTAAAGGAACAAATCAGTGTGAGCAGAAACTGTATTTCAGTGACATGCAGGCTCTTCTTTATTATGTTTTGAATAAACAAGCAAGTCACCAAACAAACAAACATCAAATAAATAAACACTTGGGACAACTCTAACAAAGTTAAATCAGGCCCTCTGGATGGTTTCTCTATGTTGAAATGTTTCGTCTTTCATCCGAAGGACTTCATAAATATGAGGAGCCACAACAAACTCAGTCCCATAAGTAGCACACTCACAAAGTGGGCCAACCAGTTTGGTGACGATACGATGGTCTCTGAAGTTTACCCTCTCCCCCATCGACTCATCTGAGGCAGCCATGGCCGAAGGGTTCAAAACATCAACAGTAATCCAGATTAAAAAATCAGATCCAGAGGACCTGATTTAACTTTGTTGGATTTTTTTCCTGGATTATTGAGCACGAACTTTGATACTTGGTATAACTCTTTAATGAACACCACCATCTAGTGGAAACATCCAGCTTGTGCAGACATTCAGATTGGTTCACAAAAAGACGACCATTACAATGGAAACAAATATTTTTTTATGATTGTTGTTGTTATTTTGTTCCACAAACAAATACAACTAAATGTCTTCTCCTGTTTCCTTTTACTGAAAACTCGTTGAAAAATCATCCTGACACCATGTTTGTGGTGTGAATTCATTTTTGCTGTAATTTTCCATGTTAACCTGAACAAATTAAATTAAAGACAAAGCTTTCCGTCATCACACCTAAAAAAATGTAGGAAAACATTATTTGAACATGTCTCTTCCTGCTAAAATGAAAAGACATGCAACTGCACTTGTGCATGAGCATTTCAACGTGTAAATCCACCAGCTGCAAATATAATGAACACCAGCATCCTCTCAAATGTTTATGGGTGCACCATTGAGAGTCTGCTGACAGGCTGCATCACAGGGTGGTACGGGAACTGCACCAGTCAGCCAGAAAGCTCTACAGAGGGTGATGCAAACAGCAGATGACATCACTGGTAGCAGTCTCCACACCATCCAGGACATCTACCACAGCCAATGTCTGTGTAAAGCATGCAGCATCATTAAGGACCACACCCACCCAGCACAAGGACTCTTCCATCTACTACCCTCAGGCAGACAATACAGGAGTCTGTCATCATGTAAAAAAGACTAAAGGACAGTTGTTATCCACAAGCTGTCAGATTACAGAACTCTCAATAAATAACACTGAACAACTGCCAATAACATTGCACCAAACCACATCTGTGACAACTAATATGACAACTATTAGTTTTTGACAGCTAATATGTTTATTGTTTTTTTGCTGATGCACTAGTAGGCTTATCTGATACTAGGCTGTATCATGAATGATACAGTATCTATGTATCTACCTTACCATCACAATTCAATCTCAATGTCACTCACCAATAACTTGTCACACAACCTGTGTAGTATATTTGTGTGCAATATACACACACACACACACACACACACA